AATTGGCAGTTGCTTACCGCCACTATACCCGTCGGGAATCGGAAAGCACCGGAAACACGCGTGCGTCGGTGCTCCCCACTCGACTGACTCGAGTACATAGCAGATACGAAGCCGACCTTACGTGGGGTACGGAATGCGCTTTAACTCCTTGAATCTAATTCCGGGTAGGAATAGATTATCTATGCTTCTCTAAGCATTTTTCAAGCAAAATTTTCATCAAAAAAGCGCAGTGACACCGCCGGGGAACAGGGCTGGCCCGATCAGTGGGGTCTTCACTAGATCTGATACCAAGTCGGAGGGCTGCATGCCCTCGGTGACTTCTTGCATTAAACTTTGTTGAAGTTGACTTTAGAACCCAGTGAGATGAAGGCTGGGGTGAGGGTGGAAATGGACAGGTCGATGATACCCTGAAGATGCTTAGAGGGTTGGTGGCCCTCCTTGCGGAAAAACACAGTGGCGTGCTTCGCCATGCCCAACACTTCCATGGTTTTACCGACGGAGTCGAAGCGCAACCCGTCTGACGCGGTGGTAGAGGGGGTGTTGGCAAGGGTCTTACTGCAGGGGCGGAAGGCCTTGTCCAAATGTCCTCTCAGGCTCTCGTGCTCGAGGGACCATGGTTTCCCGTTTAGGGACTGTAGGCGGGGGTCTTCGCTCTTGAACTGCCATTTCACGGCTGCAAAGGGCTTCGGGGTCTTGGGGGCCCCTGCCCCTTTTTAGGTAAGAATTGTTTGTCTCAGGAGGCTGAGCGTGGCGGTGGAGCTTCTGCATGATCTGCGTAGAGACGCAAACAGCTTTCAAAAATGTCGCTTCTGAATTTTATTCACGGATTAATTTGAACGTTATATACATTGATTCAGCATAGAAACATACTTCAACTTCCAACAATAGCTTAGGTATTCATTTAAGCATTATCTATAATATTGTCTATCCAAAAATATGCTGTCAAGCAAATTCGTTTTTTCAGCATATTAAATAATGTTAATGGTTAACAGATTCATTACACACTGTCATCTTAATTATCATATATTTACCATAATTTTTTATGCACAATTCTCATCATTTCTTTGTTCACAAACGCTTGATTTTTATCGTATTCGCTCATCCTCCATTGTTCACACGTTCTGCAGTGCCCCTAATTAACACATTCCCCATTATTCCTTTACTCTCACATTCTCTGTTCCCTGACACACAGTCTGAGCTATTCCCTTACTCACATATTCTCCGTTATACCCTCAATTAAATATTCTCTCTTATTCCTTTACCTGCATATTCTCTGTTATGCCTTTAATCGAATATTCTCTGTTATTCCATTACTCGGATATTCTCTGTTATACCTTTAATCACATATTCTTTTGGTCTTTTCATAAATATTTTGCACTTATTCCTGTCGATTTCATTACTAGGTATACTAAATCTGGCCGCCTATATACTTTTACATAGTAGGTCATATTTATTTAAATTTAAATGAATGACGTTAATTTGGCAGTCCCATTCATTCGTTCATAAGAAAATGGTGGATACTCCATAATCGAAGAAAAATGGCACCAACGGTTGCACGCACGCACATGAGGGCCTTGGAGAAAGTTTTTATATGTTGAGAACATGTAACGTCATTCGAGAACTTATTAAAAATAAAAGGCGATTAAAAAGTTTCAGTTATAGTCCACCCTCAACCAGCCTTGTATAGCTGACTGGAAGGCAGGTAGCAATGTTGCTGCTACGATGTCGGCACTCAGGGAGTTCCATATTCTGATGGCCGAGGTGGACGTCAATTCTACTGCGTGGGACCTGTAACTTCTGTTGGTGCCCTTGTTGCGTGTGTGACTGATTGGCACAACCCTGAAGGAGGTTGGACAGCGACTAGGCAATGCAGCATTTTGTACAGCATGCATGCTTTGTCTGCCGTTCTCCTTAGATTAAGCTTTTCCAGCTCAAGTCTGGCTACTATCTCAGTGGCACTGGATGTGGGGCTAAAGTCTCCCAGGGTTCTGCGGGTGCGGGCAGCTCTGCATTGTACCATCTCAGGGGAAGTTTTCCTTTAGTTAATTGCCAAATGGGAAAATTAGGGTTGTTGTTCTAGTATTCATTGTAATGGAGATGGAATGGAATGATATATTTATATTCAATTAGTTGAAATTGGGTTCATCTTTTTGTGCCTGCAATAATATTGCAATGTCAGGGTCAGAGCAGACGCACCCTCACGTTTGGTCAGTGGTATTGGTTTACAGCTTGGACACTTTTAGAAATTAATTTTTTAAGGCTTTTCAGAGCAGGCCTACCATGCATAATAAAAGCGGTCTTGATAAAATTTAAAACAAATCTTTTTATCAACAATACGCTTATGCGAGTGTTGTTAGAATTTTTTTGTCCACTTTGATTTTAACTAGCGCTGAAGAGGAGCATATTGCTCCTCTTGCTTAATCTTAGATTATTAGGTTCTTACTTTCATTCCTGGCACTTTGGTGTATTGCTTACTTTAGGTTATGCTTCCTAATATGGTTTGCTCTTTCCATTTAATTTAAGGCTTTTGTGACTGTTATTATTAATGAATGTTTCCTTCCCTTGTATTTGTTTCAGGTGTTGTTCTCCATCAATAATTTACCAGTTAGAGCATGCAACTTTATGCAATGTCTGAAAAGTTCACTTGCTTCCACCTTATTATCATGTTTGAAGTGTAGCATGCACCATTAAAAGTCTTGGTTAAGTTNAAAAATGAACTTGATGAAGAGTCTAAAAAAATTGCTGCTTTGCCACTATGTAAGTGATTGCAGTGAACCATTGTGTTTACATTACGCTTTTTGGTATGTGACAATAGATTTTTTAAATAAAACGGTAAAGATTGAAAAAATGAAGTTATAAACTGTTATTTGTGAGCAACAAACTATTATATTAGGCCCCAGGAAATTGAATGAAAAATATGAACGTAGGTACAATTTATTTTGTGAGCGGGTCTAAACAGAGGCTAGGGAAAAAATTAGATTGTCACCCTGCAACAGAAAGTTACCTAGGTACACGATTCAAGGATGCCCAGTACAGACAACACTTCAGACAACAGTGATTGTAAAAACTTACAAATTACAATTACCTATTTCAAACCACTTTTATTTTGATATCTTCATTTACAGCATTCTTAGTGCATTTCTAATACAGAATATTATTCATAGCCAGATACTCAAGAAGTCAAGAAAAAAAAACTCAAGATAGCCTACTTACTTGAAGCACAACGTTTCTTATGAGCGCATTTATAGCTGTGATCGAAGAGTCCAGGCGTTGGGCGGCATCCTGAAAATACCAAAGTACAAGCCCGCCCTTCGTTATAACTGAGAAGAAATCTAACATTTTGCACACTTAACATACAAATTTATTAAATAAAAAAACTAAGCTGCACCTAAATCACAACTTTCCATCTGCGTATTGCGTTGCGTCTGCTTAGAGTGAATTAGAAGACAAGTCATCCAAGAATAAGGTTTGCGTATGAAAGGTCACGAGATCATTTCATCATGCGGAAAGTATAACTAAGTAATATTTTTCATTTCTTCATGATAGAATCAATTGCTAGAAAGTTATTACTAATGCAACACACTTTGTATTTCTTTATAAACCGCTTTGTGAATTGCGAGCCCAAATTGACGTTAAACAAATGATGTGCGTAATTATAAAACTATATTAATTCATGTTTTATCAATATAAATGTCTTCAGTTTTATCGAAAATAAATTTTTAGATACACAAAGTCAATAAAATGGTATTCGAAGTCGACATAAGTGCTTGTGGGTTAATATAAAGATTTGCACTACCTTAGATTATATTCCTCCTCAACGCACCTGCTACTTACATCGGGAATCGAGACTTAACATCTAAATGTCTTCCAATTCATTCTTATTTGTACAAAGTTTGGTTTTATTTACAAAACATAATTAAAAATGATGAATAATAAAATTTATCAAAAAAGTTTTTATTTTCGCACATAAAATGGCGAAGAAATATATTAGAAACTACAAATAGAAGTTGAATTTTTTTGGCTTCACATAACAATTCAAGGGGTCTACAATAATGAAGACGTCAAAGTCAAAAAATACGTTTTCTCAATATTCAAGTTGTAACCTTTTTCGAGCTGCAGATATAAGTCTTTCGAGCTGCAGTAGGTGCCTTTTGTCGCGCTACGTGTTTGAATATCGTGGCAAGGAAAGGATATTCGGAGCAATTCTAGGCGAGACTGAATTGGTTGACGAAGAATAACGTAATTAGAGGTTTATTGGATTCTGGATTCCTCTTTCAGGAACCATTTTTCGCACTGAATCGCTAAGGCAGATAAGTTATTACACATCAAGCGCTGGTGGATATTTAACTTCAAACCATCCTGATACCCCAAACACCTGGTACTTGGGCATTGGCAATTGAAAGTCTCAAAATATCTTCACGAGTTCTACATCATCTAAGACTCAATATTTAGAAAGTCGACAAATAGTGAACTGAGAAGTAACTTACACAATGTACAGAAAACCAGTGGAGGTTGAACATCAGAGGACATTTTTCTCGGGAAGAATCGTTTCTACTTGGAACGGACTAGATGACGAGGTGGCCACTGCAATGTCTACATATGCTTTTAGAAGCAGCATTCCCTACCACTAAATTAGGCTGCCGTCACTATGAACAGGACTGACAAACTCAAGTCATTTGCGCTTCTTGTGTTTGATTGCTGGCGTAGCAGCTTAACGAAGCGTTTGCATCTTCTTCCCTTAAAGCACGTTTCAATTTGCGATGACGTAAGGCTCATATCAAAGCATTAAACAAGAGTAGAAGCAGGCACAGACTTGTGTGATGTACATGACTCAGCGAAGCCTGAAGCATCCGTTCCTATTGAAATAATACACGGCGCTAATCGATCAAACATCAGTGAACTCTGCGTTGGATTCATCAAGAAATAAGAACATAAATATAAACAACTTGATTTTATCATTAAATTCGCATCACGTATGTTATGAAATAAAACTACAAAACGTCAAGCAAATATCTAGATATTTGTAGTACAAATTTTAACAATAGCATAATCTCACCTACAAATTTATAGTACATACGGGAATAAACTATCAAATGAGCATTAATAAGAATGAGATAAAGCGTTCCTACTAAATCTCTTGAACACGTGAAAGCATCTTTTGCAGGAATACGAAAACTCTCAGAGAGCAACACAGAAGCAACAAAAAAATAATACTATCCAGCAGACATTCCATAACCTTAAATTAAAATCTCAATAAGCAAAGAAACGACTTAAATTTTTGAAATGCGTTACATCAAATAATGACATTTGCTAACAATAAAACTTTAATTTCATTACAAATCATTCTAAACATAAATTGAATTCCTTAGAATCTGCATTAACAAGATTGTATTGAAACATCACTATAGTATAGTGTAGTGTGGTAGTATCGGCGCTGATGAATAGGCCAAGTTTGACCTACTAAGATGAAATATGGCCAACGAATGATCGGAAATGATAAAAGAAATTATGCTTCATCTCGCATCACATTATGAAAGTAGGAAAGTAGTAGTAGAAGGTATTCTGTGGTCCAGGCTTGCAGCTATATCCATTTTCATAATTTTAATATGTAGAAGTTTGAAACCTGCTGATAAATTGATGCATAGTTATGCATGATCGCTGTTTGCAACGATGAACAATGCGTATATCAGCCTTGAAGTCTGAATTTTGAGATGAAGAGACAGATCTAGCCGCCTTCAAATGCCATGGCGTCTCCAAGTTATGGTCGTCATCATTAATGATGTCACCGGCTGCCAGTCTTAGTTGTCGCGACTATTCACGCTCCGCCGGACGCGATCCTCGCCCTCATCTGAGTGACTGGTTAGCGCATGACTGGCATGGCGGTGGCCGTGCCGGTTGGAGTCGCGTCTGAGTCACGCCACATTTGCGTCACAGTTTTCCACTGAGTATAGAAGTTTAAACCCTGCAAACATAGCGTGTCAACATTACAACAATTACTGCTGAGCTGAATTACAGGGGAGTAGATAGGTATTTAGTATAGGGGTTTAATAAAGACCAATGCACACACTAGTTGAGCGATCACTTACAGATTTTCCATAAAAATTGGCGTCGCCGAGGAATGAGCCCCGTGAACCCGTGAAGGAAAACATCGGCAAGGGAACAGGAATAGGCACGTTGACTCCGATCTGGGCAGCAGCATGAAATTTAATCGTTATTAAAGAATCATATTTTTTTGTAACCTCGTATATGAAGTTCCACTCTACGCGAATTCCACAACCGAGAAGCACTACAAAGATGTTTCAGGGAGGAGTCGGAAGTTTATGCCATTTTGTCATATGACAAGCTATGCAACGAGATAATTCAATACAATGATTTTGTACATGAAAAGGAATACTAATAAAATACACCATATACCTGTCCCACGTCAATTTCGTTAGTGAATTTCCTTGCAGTGGCGCCGTTGGTAGTGAATATTGCAGTGCCGTTACCGTAAGGGTTGCTGTTGATCAGTTCAATGGCATCATCGAGCGTGTCTACAGAGACTGCCACGAGCACTGGGCCGAAAATTTCCTCAGTGTAGCACTTCATATTTGGCTGCAGTAATGAAAATTAACACGAGTGAATAATTTTATTGCTCTGTATGCCCCCAACCCAAAGTGTGCTTATGAGCCTGAGCTTCAAGTAAAACTGCCCAGAAGTTTAAAGCTTTAGCAGAGATTACGGTTACATTAATCAAACAAGAAGGAACATAAATCAAAAACATGAATAATCACGATACAGACGATATTTCTTTATAAGATACAAAATTCTTCTTCAGTTCATTTAATTTTACATTTCACTAGTAATAAATCAAAAAAAGCCAATTTACATTAACAAGGCTACCGTACGGTACTCGTTTTTTTGGCTTCTTTAGCAGATTTTTAGTTGAATTAAATTTGGATGAATCTCATATTTTGAATTTCAGCAAAAATATCGTACAAACAATTCATTTTCAAACATAGAATGAGACCTATGAGACGGCTTTTCATATAGTAATTTTATAGTTTAGAAATATGACCTTAACATCAGAAAGAATGGTCGGTCCAATGAAGTTTCCGTGTTCATAGCCTGGAACTTTGATGTCGCGGCCATCGAGAAGGCACTCCGCTCCCTCGTCGATACCGCTCTGGACCAGCGATGCGATCCGATTCTGGATTCGAAAATTATGATCAATATCAAGATGGTCGTGATGCCCAGCTCTAAAACGGGACTTTCATTACAAAACGGGCAACAAACAAATGTCTCAAGAATGAATAATTTTTACCATAGCAGGAAAAGAACATGAAATAAAATTGCAAGTAATTAATAACTGGACACTCAATAATACTCGATATCAATCCGATCAAGAAAAATTGTACGCAGACCATGAAGATTGGTTGAAAATGGGAAGATATGGCAGCTGCGAGTATATCCAGAAAGTTAGAAAACAAGTCGAAGAATAGTGACAATACTTGAATAGCATCAAAAATATGTACAGTCCCTTTTGCACATAATGCCTAAGTAATATCATTCTTGAATAATGGTTCTCCTTTTCAGCTCATAGTGAGAGAATTCGGACCATAGGCCGAATGAAGGTCTGTCTCTACTTTGCAAATCTTAAATTTCATTATGTTGATTACAAACTTAAAAATGGGAAAAAAACTTCGAAAATTATTGTTCACATACCTTGGCTTGAGGTGAGATGACGGGTCCTAGATCAGCTCCAGGCTCGTGCCCAGCGTTGACTTTCAGAGCCTTGGCTTTAGCGACGAGATCAGGCAGCCAGTTGCGTGCTTCGCCCACGAACACAGCTGTGCTCAGTGCCATGCACCTGAAAAACGCGGAAATCCGAATATAGGAGATGTACCAGATACCTAATAGCGTAAGTTATACCAAAACACTACTTAACGATAGCTTTAAATTGACGTCTAATTGGCTCCAGCATGCCGGTCGGCACGTTGAACATTTGTTGCTTTAAGAAAAGGTGAGTCGAGATGATTACAGCCCACCAATACATGAATATTCTAAACACATTATCCGTCATGTAACTAGCATTTGGGGACAATGACTAAATATTACAACATTAAATCAAAAGTTGAAAAAGATAAAATTTGCAGAATTGTCGGATTGTGACCATAAACCACTCGTTGACAATCCCGTCTGGCAGCCAGAACATCAGATTGTGAAGTGATGTCGCACGCTTTCCAGTGAATAATATCATAAGTAGGAACATGAAAATTAATAGCGATGTCTTTTAAAATATATAATATTTTAGGATATAAGGCAATACTTTGCACACCAGAGTTTTTCCCAAAGTTTATACACATATCAATGCCTGACCAAGAATTAATTAACGTGGATATTGCGCCCCTGCTCGATGATGCAGTTACCTCTGTCCAGCAGCGCCAAACGCAGCACCGACGAGTTGTGTGATGGTGTTGTCTTTGTTTGCATCGGGCATGATGACCCCGTGGTTCTTGGCGCCCATGTTGCTCTGCACGCGCTTCCCATTGCGACTTCCGCGCTCGTATATATAGCGGCCCTGCAACAACGTATAGATCACAACTGATGCACTGAAATATGCCAGTGATAACAAATACCAGATCAACATTTTTAAAGACAGCATAATGACGTTACAATTAGGATACTACTACTTTATTTATAAGATTATATAAGATACCGTATTATATTAGTAAGATTCAACAGCAAAGTTTGTCGATAATTAAACGTTAGTAAATTACGATGGGAGTGTCAGGAGCAGAACAAAGTTCATAATGATCATTGTCATGGTGTGAGTAGACTGACAAGCGTTTGAATCCATAGTAACAGCGACATGGCTGTGTGAAGTTCGGGGCTTGAGCCTAGTCAGGATGGTTGCATTGTGAACAATGAAGTCTCATATGGAAGCAAATAAAGCCATACGTTTATACTGCAGAGCAAATCATGTGAAGCTGTTGCTACGGTGTGATAGAGTGAGTGACAGTGTGACATCGCCTCTAACATTAAGCAGTACTGAATGGTAATTGATGATGAACACATTATATATTAAAGTTTGAAAATTTTAAAGGATTACAAGGAATTGTGAAAAATCACCACAGAGGGTGGGGCAACTTACAGCCTGATCAGAGCCAACAAAGGAAATGGCTCTGATGGCGGGATAGTCGCATATGAAATTGACGGCCTCGTGTTGGCCATGGATTACGTTGACGACGCCGTCAGGGCAGCCTGCCTCCTGCAGGAGCTTCATAAGCAGCATCGTGGCGCCAGGCACACGCTCTGAAGGCTTGAACACGTACGTGTTGCCGGAGACGATCGCCACAGGAAACATCTGTGCAGATCAACACATAGAATTAGAATACCGTCACCGCACTTGGCAAAAACAGCGTAATGAAATTTAAATGCAACGTTATATGATTGATGCAAGTTCATACATTATTCTTTCAAGAAAACTAGTGCAGTTACCGGATAAAAAAACTTGGTATTACACCTATTTTCTTCAGGTATGAAAGATATTAACCAAGAAATACATAGAATCTTTGGCTATTAGAAGGGTACAATAATGGTTCTCACCCATAGAGGGATCATCGCAGGGAAGTTAAATGGAGCAACACCAGCACAGACCCCAAGAGGCACTCTGTATGAGATGGCGTCCATGTCACGGGAAATACTGGGCATTGTCTCGCCTAGCTGCAGACTGGTGACGCTGCAGCAGTGCTCCACGACCTCTGGCAGGGGAGAAGACATTAGTTACTGATGGATATTATAGGTAATGGAATCAGTACGGTATGTCTTCAATTGAACTATTTATATAATTTAAAAATATACAATTTTCTTTGACCAGCCAAATATAATGCATATACCCATTTTCTCTTTCATAGGCAATTTGATTTTGTTAAGACTATTTCCTGATAAGTCAATCAAAAGTAAACAAATATAGCTTCTCTTATTAAAAAATTCTCAATACAAGAAAGAGTATACAAGACAGAATGAATTGAAAATAGATTATAAACAAAATCAACTCACGGAGACCACGTAGAACATCGCCATCAGCATCAGCATATGTTTTTCCTTGCTCAAGAGTCACAAGCTTGGACAATTCTTTCTGAGGATATAAAAGGAAAAATGAAATAAAAGGCCCAGAATCCTTTAAACTTTTCCTTACCTGCCTGGATTTCCCCACCTTCAAAATCTCCTTAAAATTCATTTTCAACTGCCTGGAATTTCTCCAACTTTAATGTCTTCTATGAATTAATCTTCTAATACCATATTTCTGCAAACTTCAAGAATAATAATTACCAACACAAAAAGTTGTGATAGAAGTATATAGGTCGCATGAGTTGACCATTCAGTACTAAATAAAATTGTATATGCTACCAGCAATGTTTTTTATAATTTGCTCCCGATATCTGAACATGATCTGGTTTGTCTGAACAACATTGAGGTTGACAAGACAGTGCCTGGATTTCCTCCAACTTTAATGTTCCTACAAATGAATAACACAATTAGTTGTAAAAATTTCAGATTTCAGCACGTGTCGATAAATACAAAATTGCATCTGCTACTTGCCATGTTTTTCTTAATGAGTTCCTGATATCTGAACATGAGCTGCTGTCGTGTCAGCACTGAAGTTTGAGACCAAGTCTTGAAGGCTTCCACTGCAGCAGAGCCTGCAGCTTCCATCTCAGCAGCAGTGGCACAGGGAACTCGTGTCACAACCTGCAGCAACAAGTCAAGTCACTTAAAATTAAACACAATAATCTAATTTGAAATTTGAATGGTAATTTAGTCTTTGATCTTATGTATTGTATTAGATAAATGAGTAGTATTTGAAAATAAAAATACATTTTGGAAGGTAAATAATTCATTTATTATTATCATCAACATATTCTTATACTTGACACACATAGCATTGAATCAAAAGTTAATGAGAATCAAGGGTTTGCTTATTAATAACCTGTTCAACAAACCAGTTAAAATTACAGTTAAATTTGATTAATTTAAAAATTTATGAGTCAATTTATGAACTACCATTCATTATTATTCAGTCTAAGACACTTGAGTTGCCACCTTTCTTGGTCCACCTCTGTCAAATAGAATATGGAAAAAATATATCTTGTTACCAACATAGAATAAATAATTAATTTGACATTTTAATGGGTTTATGTTCTGTAGTGTACTACTTCACTAGTGTCACATAACAATGAATAATTAAATGGCATATTGATGAATGTTATATTTCAACAGTTCTCTCAATTCATAGTGTGAAATTTCATACACAAATACTGAAATAGAAGTGAATTTAAAGATATGTAAGTGCTCATTGCTCAATTCTGCACAAATGAAACATAAAAACTTAGGAATGTACACTCTACAAAATCTCCATGAAGTAGGCTAACAATAAAGACACAAATAATTTATTGAAATTAGCTATTTTATCCAATTAGCTATTATTTATCTTTTTTATGTCATATGTCATGACATAGGTAACTCAAAGTAGGTATCATAGAAAGTTAAGAACCAGTTACTGGTTCACTTATTCAGCTTCAAAATTTTTGTTTTCATTTTTTATTTTAAAATTGGTTCTTTTATTTAATTATTATCTATTTTTTAAGTTATAAATTCTAACTCATTGCAAGCTAAGTCACTGGTTCACCAATTAACCTAAGCTTCAAAATTGTTGTTTTCATCTTCTATTGAATTTTTCTTAAACTTTGTTAGCTAATTAGAAAGAATAGTCTGAACCTCATTTGTTGCAGGGTTGTGAACATCCAAGAATTTGTCAGACTTGCTTTCCACAAATTGACCATTGATGAAGAGTTTGGTTGTGGGAGCTGCAGACGCCAATCCTCTCTTCACCATGCCTCCATACATCCTAGCCTGAAAAGTAAATCTTATATTACTAATATTGTTAAAAATGTACACAGAAAAACGAAGGTAGCAGGATGCTTATAAAAGAATATAAATTATCAGTGACATCATGAATACTATATAAATACAGAACAGTTCTTTGTCTTCAATTTCATTCAGTCCCTTAGGCGCCAAGCCAAAGTAGGCGGGCGAGGGCCGAGTCACGAGTGCAATAGAAGTTATAGAACTAAATACAATCCAACTATTGATAAATTGTTTTCAATTCAAGTATTATCAATGTCGTTTTAATTAAACTCACAGTCACAGGGTTCATCATCTTGAGTAGAGACATGACTTTTAACACTGGACCGGTGGTTGCCTGGCAAGAGACGTCGCTAGTATTGAGAATTAGTCGATCGTAGTGCTCAAGCGTGTTGTAACGGGAGCTGAATATGCACAGGCAATGTAAACCACCTGTACATTCTAGTTAACATCATCCGCTTGGCCACCTTGAGTCGAAAAATAAGTCATTACTATTAAAAAAATTCAGCACGTTCACCGGTATTCTTGAGGTACCTATAAATTTATTATCACAGTAACTGAATGGTAAATTAATTACTTCAGCGTAGGTCCAGTTAAGCAGTTTTCAACCATTAAATGCTCTCACTTTACGAGCTTGTAAGACCAGAAGCAAGACAGGCCGCGCAATGCATGACGCATGCCTATCATCGCCTAACTTCGCCAGACCTTGAATGATGTTTATACATTATGATTAACAGCAAAGTTTATTTTTAACATTTCACTGCGACGAGCTTTGTCAGATTTATTCTAGTCGTTCAGTTTCCAGTGGAGTGCAAAACAGCCTACTCCCGCCTTCTGTTTTAAATTTTTATCTTATTTTCAAGGAATTAATAGTCAAATTTATATTTACCATGCGCTGGGATAACCACTGATAAATATATATTTTTTTCAATTCGTCCTGATTGGAACACTAGATGACCAAGTTTCAGAAGCCTACTGAGGACCCTCAGCTCCGTTCTTTACAGACTTTGAAGTCCTCAAAAGCGGAGGCTCTTTATCAACATTACGCGTTTAAGCCAGTGACGAGAATTTATTGTTCGTTGTTAAATCGATTAGTTTTGGCTGTGCCCCCACGTGCTCGATTACTTCTTTTGTGTTGTTCATTCATAATCCTAGCTATGAATGAAATGAATGAAAAAATGAAATAAATAATAAGAAAATTGTCAATAAGAAATACTCTTTGGTCTTCAACGAAACCTGCAATCCTAGCTATGTACATTAACAGAATAATGATAAATGTCCCTAGCCAATCTTAAGCTACCATAACGTGACTTGTGTTTGTCATAACCTTCGACATCTTTCCAAGAAATTACGGCAAGGACGTTGCCTCACTTCCTGATAAAGTGTCAATATGTTAATTAATTTGTCATATATGAGCAATAAAGAAAATTGTTCAGCAATCGATTATATTTTGGTGAATGCGAAGGCAAGAAGAAAAGTGATGTGCATGTGGGTGGATGAAGCTGGTGTGTTTGATATCAGAAGTGATCATAATATGCTTGTTACCGAGTTAAAAATGCATGATACGCATGTGAGAGAGCTGGACAAAAAATGTAAATGGCGAGTGAAAGGTGTGGACTGGGATAACTTTGGTGCGAAACTTACTGATACAGAATGGGAAGTGACAAGTGATGTGAATGGTATGAATGAACAACTCAAGAAATGTATGAACGAGGCTGCAAGGGCCGCATGTGCAAGGACAACTAAGAATAAACGCAAAAGCCGAAGAATTAATGAAGTCTGGTGGAGTAGTGATGTGAGAGTGGCAAGAAGTGAACGAAAGAGATGTAATCGAGTCTGTAGGCAACTTCGGAAAAAGAGGCATGAAAGTGAGGATTGTGAGCAGGAATATCAGGAAGCATGGCAGAGGTATGAAGAACAACAGAGAAGAACCAAAACTATCATTAGAAACCATATTGTTGAGTATGAGCGAAACAGAATAAATGAATTCGTTATGAAGGGAGAGAGAGGTGGACGCAATTGGTATGCATTCCTAAGAGGGGACAAAAGTGAAAGCGATCTGAGAGTGGATGGGTTGAATGTAGAAGGAGTGTATGTAACTNTGAGAGTGTGAAGAGATATTTGGAAAACGTGTGGATGATGAGGGAGAGGAGGAGGATGATAAGAGTGGAGTCTTGAGTGGAGGGTTGAGAGAGGGGAGGGTGGGAAGACGTGTGAACGTGCCGAATTGTTTTAGTACGTGGTTTTAATTTTTTTGCGATTGTCAAATTTTTATATTTTTTCTTAGGACAGCTGTGAATATGGTATATTTGAACTTTTTTGTTAAAATAAGAGTGTGAACTTTTAATTTTTTTGATGCTAGTAAAAGTTTTTTTAGGCAGCGTGTATGACCGATTTAAAGGTCGTGACCGTAGGTCACCAAGCACCCCAATTCCAATTCCGATGTGCTTATGTACGATTAATCATTTGAAAATTTCAAAACTGGCCAGACTAAGTTACTACAAAATTCTACGAAGCGAAATTTTGATGCGGGCGATATCTAAAATGGAATTTTCATTAGAAGCGCATTAAAGCTTCCCTCGTCCCAATAAAAAGTAAGGAAAACGTTTTAAAATGAAATGCCGAGCAAAATTTGCGTCAGCATGCCTAACGCTCTCTGGAATGCGTTAGCGTTCTACAGTGAGGCCAGCCTTTTTCCGTCACGTGTGTCCGCGTCACGTTCTACGTCCAAATATTTTACGTCCACTGCGTGTGTTAAGGATTGCTATTATTTTTAATTAAGAGACTTTCACAACGAAAGCAAACGCAGCTTGTTATAACTGAGTCCTAAAACGAATTGTAAACCTAAACTGAAAGTTCTAATGTTGGTCTCAATTGGACATTTAATGTTTGAACATTTTATAGCATCATATCTTAAAACTGTTGTATTTTTTACGGTGACAAATGAGCGCAGATTTGCCAAAAAAAATTACGGTAGCGTGAAGTATTCACCAGAATGAGCGCTATCAAGTGATTTAATTATATATGGCAAATTAAATTAATTACCAGCTGAGATGCGTGATATTAAAAATTTTGATTTCCATCAAATAATTTTTAGCTAATAAGAATTAAAGTTATGCAGACGGCATAATTGCCGTCTATTTACATTGCTACAAACCACTAAACTGCGAATAAACTATAAAGTATTCATGTTATCATTACTAATAAAAGTAACACTAGTGAAAGTCTGCCAATTAATATAAATGGTCAAGATCTTGTATTTCAGAATGATGACCCACGACAAATGGCTTCTTGAGGCTATAGATCGATCAATCACAGCTGAGTATACAGTTAAAGGTTCGTATTGCTCGAGGCCCACAACTTACTTAACGGATAATTTGCTCTGTTGTGTGCTGCATCCCGCCTCAGCCTAGGGTCCTCGAATCGAATAGACGTTCTCCAACGGTTGCTCCCTTCAGTTGCAATCCATCTGTAAGTGAGTGCGGTTGTACGTCAGGTGCTCCCGGTGACCTCAATGAACGTTACGCGCCGCATAGTTATCTCACTTGCTGCTTTCATAGACAAGCATTGCTCCACAGTTAATGATAATTTCTTCAAGTGTTTGCGTTTCAATCGCCTCAATAGATTGCCTGTTGACAAAGAACTATTGTAGTGGATTGGAGAAACAGATGACTCGGTGCCAGAGAAATTATTTGCTTTGAAGTAGAAGCACTTGCTTGATATGCAGATAACGGTACGTGGAAGAGGTCGCGTGATTAGTGGGGAAACTGAAATTTGCCTCGAAGTTGGATAAAAGTGAAAGGGTCCATTTCATACATTAGTTACACTTAGAAGATTTTGTATTGAGGATTATTTTGGTGAGAAGAAAAATTTACTGTAATTTTTAAACCCGTTCGGCACTGACAAAGGCCAATTTTCTACTCTGCGTGTACAATGTACAATGTACTTTCCTCGTCATCTGTAGAATCAAATATTGATGCGTTGAATTGCAATTGTGAATATCTCATACATGTATGCATCATACCGAGTATTAAAATAGCCACATCCAGTATAGGGAACCCTATTTTCTAAACATTCAACTCAATAACTGTTACGTCAAACAAATTTGGCCGAACCATTCTCAGTAATTCAGCTTTAGTCAAAAACAATTACAATTTCAGTTAACGGCACCTTTCATACATCAAGTTAATATGGACTAAATTCTATTTCGAATTTGATCGACTGCCCTCGCGAACGACGTGTTTAGTGAACTCTGCCACTCTCCAACAGCTTTATTAATTCAAACCTTAAACCGCAATCGCAAGGAGACATTGTTAATTAATTAATTAATTAATTAATTAATAAATAAATAAATAAATAAATAATAATAATTATTTATTAATAATTAGTAATTAAGTTACAATAAGTTAGATAGTAGTAAGTAAAATATGAATTAATTAATTAATTCATATTTCTCGTTCATGCCGCAACGCAACACTTGAGAAACATTGTTGTTGACGTGATGCACGCAGCACAAGGCCGGCGCGTCTGCGGTGGCAATATTTACATCCGCCTGGTGCTATTCAACCACGCAAACTTGGCCAATTTTTAGTTATTAACGAACGTGGAGATTATCGATATTCTCGCCTATTTTGTCAATTATTATATAGTGCATCACATCCTTATATTAATTTATCAATTCACGTGAATTGATAAATGAATGAATTGATAAATGAATTGAAATGAATCAATTCACCTGTCTACAATTCACCTGAATTGTAGACAGGCAGATAAGGGAAATATTAATAGACCTGAAGTTTATTTTGTTGCAAGTGCAAAATATTAAAAATATTAAAGACTGAATACGATCTCCTTGGATCAATAGTAAAAATTTAATTCCCTATTTCAAGGTTACGGCCCTCATTGAACTTATGGATTAGAAAAATATTGTTCATCGTAATTAATAATCGATGGTAATTAAATGATAGATGGTAATTAGGAGCGATGACTCACTCTCATTGACCATAGTTAAGCTTGCGGATGACCAGACATCCTGTATTGTGGTGTCGCAAGCCTACAAGCATCTCTTTTTGTAAAATAATAATAATAATAATGCTCTAAATTCAAGGATTAAATTATGTGTCATTGTTATAAGGCAATATATGCCATATCTAACATATACAGGTTATAGCCACAAAAATGTTCTAAAATTATCTTCGAAAGCATAAGAGATCAAAGCAGCAATAATTAATAAACCATTAAAACGTTTATAGTTATAGTTTAATCGTTTATAACATTTCAAGAATTCTGATCTCAAAATATCAGTGTTTCCCTTATGGCTTATTCCGTCTAGCCTCCGGGTGCCGGCTATATATGGATGAACAGATTCTTTCCATCAACTTACGACTGGATTATACCGTTCACTTACAGCCTTAATGAGCCATTAAAGATAAGCTCGTCGCTCGCACTCTGCACTAGCAGGAATAGGTGAGACTTCGTCCAAATATCTAAATACTTTTTTCCCTTATTTGGGTCATCCCGATCCAGGTTTTTCCGGGCCTAAGTGCATGTCATTGCTACGTCCGTTGTCTGCGGATAAGAAAGTGTGTAGGTATTTAAATAATATGACCCTTAAAATTGTCTGCGTGTATGGTCTCTTGAAACATCAGGCACAGCATTATGGCTGCGATTTTTCTTATTTTCGCTATAAGGTAAAATTGCTTCTGAAGACTGTTCGCAAGTGCGTCATGTTTGTAAATTTACTA